GGGGAAGGGGAAGACCTGGAGGAGGATAAAGAAGGAGCAGGAGCATCACCGGCTATTCCAGACAGACCGTGAAGAAGATCATGAGCTGATGAGCTGCTGCACACAATTTGAGGGGTGAATTCCCTCCTTTCCCAAATGTCATGTGATTTCCTACCCCAGAAAAAGTCTAAGTGCTTGATTTATATAAATTTTACTCACAGTGACGAAGGCAAGAAGCTGTAGTTAACATTCAAGAAACAACGCAAAATCACGAGAAATGGAAACGTGCCAAGTGATCAGTTCCGTGACTTGTTTTCTCAGTCGCTGTATTTAAATCCCACATAAAGTCAAAGATCTTTTTGTAGCGTATGAAGACAAATATTTGTTGGTCAACAGAGGACCCCTGCTGGTGTGCAAAACCAAAAAAATCTATGCCAACTGATTGATAAATTCAACTAGAAAAACACATCCTATTTATTGTTTTTTCTAGCTTCCTTTGTGCATATTTGCCTGTGGTTTGTACTTCACTTTGATTAATCACATCACTCCATCAAGACTTTATCTCTTCAGTCTGTTTACCAAAGGATTATATGTTGCCTGCCTTTCTTACACTTCTCTCCATAATCAACCACATGCTATTCATTTATCAATAGCATCTTCTTACCTCTGCTCCATGTGTCCAAAAATTTCCCTCTGATCATTTTCAAGCAAGTTCCTGGTGATCTTCTTGTCTTCTTGTCTGTTTATTTGGAATAGGTGATTATAGCAACAGCTTCTGTTTTCAGTGCTTCTGCACAATTTGTGGTGTTATCAGATTCAGACTTTTATCAATAATACCATTGTTATTGGTATATTTTTTTTCTGTTTTCTCCTACTCATTTGACTTTGACCTAACTTTAATCTAAAACTAACTTTTATGAGAGTTCACCGAAAATTCACATTATATGGCCACCACATGCAATATCTTCCTTTATCTGTGATCAGTTCCTCTTGTCAGGAACAGTCCACCTGTTTTTCAATTGGTATTATCATCACAGTTCTACATAGTTGTACTTTCTTTTCTTGGCAATTCACTCAGTAACCCCAGTCCTCTCACCAGCGGGGATGGAAACATGGGGCATGGGGTTGGGTGAAGCATTCACATCAATATGCTAATAAGGCTACTTTCTAGTGCTAAATGAAGCTTCTTTATTTAACTTTACCATGTCAATCGAACAAGTTAGATCAGCTGCGCTTTACATTTTTTTCTCTACATGATGTTACACACACTTTAATTTCTAGAAATTATGCATTCCACATTGTGAATTCTCTGTGTTGTTCTTTGTGCATCGTGACTCTCTTGGATATCCAGGAAGGGACTTTCCTCGTATGCATATTTAACTAGATTGTTAAAGATAGATATTTCTGATGTAAGACCACTGGAGATGCGCAACAGTATACTGTCATCTCTTTTGGTAGGAGGTTCCACGTTCAGCATCCAGCTACCAGGAGAGTTCTGCCTGCAGCTTTCCCAAGCCTCCTTCTACTTGACAGTAGCTTGTGTGCCAGGTCAGCTGTCATCCCTAACAGAGAGCAAAAATTTTTAAAAAACACCCTTATTTGCCTCAAATAACCGCTAAAATCTTGTCACTTTGGATTACATTTTATCTTGCCTTCCAGCTTATTGTTAAGTTTAAAAATACGTGTTCTTTATAAAAAACTTTGTGCAGCTTATAATGTGTCCCAGAATTTCATTTCTTCCTTTTCATTTCTTCTTTCCATTTCACTTAAGTGTTGCTATGTTAGTCTCTGGCAACATTTCCTCCTTAGGGACCTTCACCTTAATCACATTCTGGTTGTATTAACTCCATGGCTTAAATAGAATTTTTTCTTCAGTCCTCTCCTCTGTCAAATAGAGCTATCTCAGTACATCCATTGCAAGATGTAGCCATTTCTGAAGCTGAGATATTATTTCTCTACATTTTTTTTCATGAAAAAAACTAATATCTGAGGAAAGTATCATAGAGGCCACAACCTCTCTGAAATAAAACTCCTTCTGTGGACTTTAAATTAGATGCTGAAAGTGATAACAAAAATGAAAAAAGAAAACAAATAATGTTCCATCTGCATTTCTAGTGGGTGTTTAGTACTTGTTCTGCAAGAAAATTTTCTATGCTTATGTACATGCAAAGACAGAGCAAATGGAACTGGTTTGGGTTTTTTTGGTTGGTTGGTTTACATTGAGTTTTTTGCATTGAATCTTATTGCAAACATGAATACTGAGGGCATGAGATCTTGTGGAATCTATTTCAGGAAACAGCTTGTCATTAATTTGATTTCATTATGTCCTGATGACCTCCACAGCCTTAGTGAGTCCTGCTGGTAGGACTTAACTGCGGTCCAAGAGCCTGTATAAGGGAGAACACGTGGACAGCACTTTAGTTTCATGTACAGAGTTTTCTGAGAGATTAAGTTCGGAACCAATTGTTGTAAAGCTAAAGTGATACTTTTATTTAGAGAGCAGCACTGAAGGATTTAAAACTGGAAACTTACGAAAATTTGTTATAATCATCATCATGATGTCCTCTTTCCTCTTCTTTAATTAAATAACTTAATTTAAAAAGTAATTAGCAGTAGCATACCAACACAGGGATATAATATCTGTTCATTTTTCTTAATAATTAAGCTTCAGCTATGGGTTTTCTGCCTTGCTCAGTGTCTAGAATTCCTCATTTATATGCCATTTTTATGTTTATTTTTCAATGTTAAGAAAAAGTATACTACAAAAAAGGCAAAAGCTTATCATGTAGTTAAGGCACGAGTTAGCAATTCAGACATTTCACACTGAATCCCACTGGTGCTACAGTTTTTTTCTGTGACCTTGAGCAAATTACTTAATCTCTCTATACCTCTGCTCCTCATTTATTTTTTAAAGGATGATAATACTTCTTCTGTCTCTGTATTTACATTGCAAACTCCTTTTACTCTGTGTTTTTATATGATTCTTGTTGCAATAAGGATCTTATTTAAGAATTCTTATTATAGAGTTGCTTTTATCTATGTAAAAAGCAATATATTCTGTATGATAGGTTATCCTGTATGATAGGTTATCTTAAGCTATATGACCTGGCTGTATAAGGAGTTACTCTTATTATTAGCACACCAGAAGTGTGTGAGAGACTCAGTCGGACTCAGAGCTCCAAGGCTGCATGGCTCTTTTATCAAGAGATGATGGGCTGGTCTTACGAAGGCTTTCTCTATAATGGTAAAATAAATGTGCTTGGGAATGACTATTCTACCACCCTTGAAGACAACTTGTATGAAGCGACCTGCATCCATACCATTAAACTTAGCCAGCACTAAGACAGGCAGGCTGCATGCATGTGGTCTATTGGGAATGTTACCTGGCTTGTAGTAGCTTCCAAACAGTATCCTGGAGTCTCATGAGAGCTTTCTGGGCCAAAAATGTAACAGTATGGGCAGGACAAAGAAACATTTTCAGGCTCTGTTTAACACACCTTGCACTCTCACTACCCATTCTGCTTCTGTATACAGCAATATGCTTATAATAATCTGTCCCAGTCTTGCTTGCTCCAAGTCCTAAAGCTGGAAAAGAAGAAAGTGAGCCGCAAAAGGAACTTTACTAGTAGTAAAACATAAGAAACTTGACATCAAAAATTGTTCAAAGTCCAGTCAAAATTCAGAAAAAAAGCAGTTTCTGTTGAAACTACTCCATAACACATTAAATATTCCCTGGTTGAGGGAGTGAGAATATGGATGAGTAGTTCAGGTGATTCCAGTTTATATTTATGGTTTATATATCAAGAGGATCAATTTGGTGATTAAAACATTTATTTGATAGGTAGACAATATGGCTTTACATCCCCTGAGCCAGTGAGAGGAGCTGAACTTATGTCTCCTGTATATTTATAAGAAAGCCCAGGATTGGTAGAGAGTGAAGAACCACATCATCTTTGGCTCTGTTGTGAAAGGAGGGACTGATCTTTCTCCTCAGTTCTTGCAAGAAGATATTTAGGCATCCAGCTCTGAGTCTCCTAAACAGGTCTGCAGTCCTGAACACAAACCTCATGCCTTAGAGTCAGGCTAAAGACAAACCATTTTACCCAGCACTTCCGTCTACCTTACCCAGGGACCTCCTGGTTATTCTGGGTCAATCTTCTTGGCACAAGGTCACATCTTTTGACTCAGGCCTGCCTCATATCTAAAGTATTTGAAGCAAAGCTCATTTGTGGGCTTTAGATGGTCTCTGGTGCACATCAGAAAAGGAAATTTAAGTCTATGCTTTGGTGTTGCTGAAATCTGAGGATATAGGCATGCTCAGTTCAAGGATGACAGTTTGTGTCCCATCAAGTCTTGAGGTGGCAGATGAGGTGTTTAAGAGGTTCTCCACAGAACAGCCCAAGCTGACAGACAGCACAGGGAGAGCTGATAGGATGCACTGGTGTTGAAAAATCATCGTTGTGCCCACCCCAGCTACATGCTTCTCAGGTCTGTCATCAGGGGCTTGCTGGCACAGATCAGGAAATAAACTGTTTTAGATTTCTCTCCAGCTTACACTCTAATAATAGTAGAGACACAGTAAATGTGGCCCCATTCACTGTGTGCACAGGACCTGCAAGCCTAAGTCCTGGTTACTGATGCCTCGCTTGGCAGAAGAGCATTTAAATCTCTGTTGAAATCTAGCCCAGGCTGATACTGAAGGGCTTAAAGCCTAAACATATTTACCTAACAAGAGATCCTATTACAATACAAAGCCTCTACACTTCCAAGACCCACAGTGTGGTTATCAGACAGCCCTAGTAATGGTACGTGTAGCTAAACTGTCACTTCCAGAATTATCACCCTATCCCAGATACATTGCTTGGTGTTATCATGTGGGACAGTAGCAAACAAAAGAGTTTTAACTACTTTGCAGTTTGAAAGGATTTTGCAAGCGTGGCTTAATCACTTGCAACACCTGATTAAACATTACCCTGCATATTGCTTTCTGATGAGTGTTTCATGTGTTCTTGTCTCTGCAGACTGAAGAAGTCCTGAAGATTGATGGAGGGCCATGCTATTCAAACAGCAGGCGTTGCTGAGACAGAAGCTCTTTGTGCTAGGCAGCCTTGCTATTGGAAGTCTCTTATATCTAGTTGCCAGAGTTGGGAGCTTGGATAGGTAAGTCATTAAGTAGCTGCTCTCTTAATTATAAATGGGCTCAGATTGTCTGAGTTTTTGCTTAAAAGCTCTGAGTTTTTTGGGTTTTTTGGTTGGTGGTTTTTTTTTTTTATTATTTTTTAGTGTCTACTCCTGTATAGAAAGACAGAAAGACTGTTCTAGCACTGGTTTTCATTGTTCTTTCCTCCCCTTTGGAGAAGAGAGTGGGAAAATAGAGTCGTGGGTCATCCTTGTCAAAGTATTTCTGTCTGTCCATTTGTATTCTAAGCACATTGGCACTTGTTTCAGAGAAGAAATAAAACAGCATCCAGTAAAAATGTCATTACAGTAGCTCATTTTTGTCTGTGTGCATCTGTGTGTTGACCTCTAGTTTCAGCAAAACAGTTATGATGTATTTATATATCATCTTTTCTAAATTTATGAGCAAGCAATTAATGTGCTACAGTGGTAGTTAAAATTAAGTATGAGCCTGCAGAGTAGCTCATCAAGTTTGGAATATTTCACTTGAAAGATTGCTTCAGGGTTTGAGAATTTTAACTATGTTAATTAGCCAGTATTTTCTGGAGCTGAATGTGCTAAATAAGTGGGTTTTCTCTGCAACTGATTTCCTGGAGAGCAGTAGAAAATCCAGCAGAGGAAATCAAAGAGTATTTGGCACTTTTGACCAGACTGAGTTTTGACTGGTTATTGACAGTGCAACAGTAGTGCTACCTGCACTGACACTGCTGTTTCTGTCACCTTCAAAATGGTCTGGGATTGCTCTGGTAGGTGCTACAGAAAGACAGGATAAAAAAAAGCTGTTTCAAAAGAATGAATGAAACAAGACTTCAAGATTTCCAGAAGCTGTTAGGCAGCTTGCCGGTGCTAATGCTCTATTAGTGTTCGTCTTTTAAATTATGGAAAATATTAGTTGAGTTCAAAATTGTGACACAATGCTGTGTGAATATGCAGCGCGTGGAAAGTGAATTGAAAACAGAGCTACCGAGCGTCCATTGCTAGGTAATGCGGAGCTCTATCTGAGGTCCAGCTGTTTAAATCCACTCCAGAAGAGGGAGACCGTGTACTCAGCTAGGACGAAGTGCATTGCAAATTAAGACCCAGAATTTATATTTTCTTTCCCCTGGTGGTCAAAGCATCTCTGATGCTTCAGAGGTGAAAACTTCACTGAGACTAATATGATTCTGTAAATGAAGGCAGAATGCCTTACTGGTCCCTGCAAAAGTATATTTTATGCTCAGAGGCATGAAATCCAATTAACCTTATGCTATTATCTATGCTTGCACATCTTCAGAATTTACTGATGGCTATAAAATTATCTCGCCACAGTATTTGACTCGCTGACCTCCTGCGGCAGTGAATTCCACCGGTTTCATATATAATGTTGCCAATGGCAGTAAAATTCGGTTTCATTCTCTTACATTACCCAGTGTGAAAAATACCACACTGCTAAAAAGCAGCCCTTTATTTGAGCTTATTATGAAAGGGAGAGAGAAGGAAACACTAGAAAGGATGAGACACAGATGAATTAACTGGAAATGTTCTTCTGCCTCAGCACTAGGGCATAGTCCAAGATTGTTGAATTCTGTCAGTGCAAGAACACTGAATGGCTTCAATAGACTTTGGAATAACTAACTGTTAAGGAAGAAATACAGATTCATCTATGCTTAATTTATGCAGATCCAATTTGAAAAAGAGAGCTGGGGATGCCCGCATTTAATAGCTTGAGACCAGGCTATTCAATGGGAATGTTTTGAGTTTTCTTAGGCCCCACTAGCTTATCTGATTCATTGAGCCATAAAGTCCGATAAGTTGAGTGCTTCCCTGCAGGGGAGGCCTCTGTCCTTCACATCCTGAGTGCATGGAGCTGCTTCACATGTGAAAGCTCAAACAGATTCTGTGCCTGGCAATTTTGAGAAGATCTGGACCAGTCTTTGAGTTGCTCGACTCTCTCATTGGCAGTACAGGGAGCCTCCGCACCTGGTTTTGATGCTCTGAACTGCTTCTGCTGGAACCAGGCTGATAATCTTTTGCCACTGTGACACGTCCATTGGAAGCAAATTAGCAAGTATTCTGGATCAGGAGAGACAGCCCTGCTGCTTGCCATTAAGATTGCTCAGCCATACTTTATTGTTTTGAAATTTGTCAAAAATATAGTTCCCTGAGATGAATTGTTCTATGGTGGGTTTTCTCAAGAAGAATATTTGTAGAGTTTTACTGTAGCAGTTTGAGAAATTGCCTGTTTTGGGAGAGCAAATTCAGTGATAGAATAAAAGTCATATACTCTTTCTTTGTAAAGGACTCTGTTATTTTAATGGAAAAAATTACTCTGAGAATCAAAAATATTTTCATATTGTTATATAAAAGTAAATAGTTACATCTGGGGATTCAACTACCAAGATCTGACAGCCTGCTTAATACCACCACTGTCAAGGTCTTTTAAAGGATATTTTTTATTGTTTAGAGAGAGAAGAAAGGGGAAAGAGTAAAAATACTGAAATGTAAAGTGTTGAGGAAGGACTTTTAACAACATCCAATCTTTTCCCTTAGGCTAGAGGATATCCTGAGTATTTATTTACTTTTAAAGGAAACCACCCTGTTTGACAAGCTGTTGTGTTACACTGAAGGCAGTGCTAACTGTCTTTTTGAGGAAAAAAGATAAAATTAGTTGAGACGGGTCTGGAACTGCCGTTGTGGAATCCTTTTTCCTTGAAAACAAATAACAAATGCACAGAAGGAGAGGGAAGAGAAGAACACCGATAGCAATTGCAGCTTCTGTTTCTTATGCTTTTAACTGCCACCTCACTGCTGCAGAAAGACTGTCTTACCACCCACACCACGGTCTGACCAAATTGTACCACTGTCAAGACAATGCTTTCTGCTTGGTTTTGTTTGTTTTTTGTTGTTTTTTTCTTTTATTGGCAGTTTTGCATCAGTGTTGCAATGATTCAGTCTTTGCGACCAAGTCAGGCTCTTATTCAGTAGATGGCAAAGAGCAAAGGAAAAGAAGAGAGTGGAAACTTGAGAAAAGAAATAACAACAGGAACTCACTTCTCATCACACCTTCTAATTAGTCTGTAGGACTTAGCTAGAGCTCATGTGAACCCAGCAATGTCATCTGGGTTGTTTCTTCGGCTCTGTTTGGACATGCTACATCTCTTAGCATCTGGATAATCAAGGAAACAGCTATCAGGTCAGCCAGGAGGATCAAACTTACTTTGTCCCAGCCATCCATTGTCCTAGCATCAGTGTCAAATTAGAGACCCCAACAAGCAGTGATGGATGGAAAAGCCATAAAGAAATATATAATTCTGTCCTTAAAGCAGAGTTTGAATAATATATAGTAAATGAGTGAGGGGCCACATGCTGAGAAACCAGAATAAATACTGAATACCTAAACAGCTATTAATGAGCGTTGCCCATCTGGTATACTGGCTGAGGCAGGGGTCCTGTGAAAAATAATAGCATGTGGCCATGTAATTTAAAAACCGTATCATAATATATATGCACAGCGAGCTCATATTAAAATTGCCTAGGCAACCTTTGTTCTTACATATCCTTAATTTTGGAGAGCATGGCTCTCCAAATAATTATTAATGGTATTTTTCTGTAGGACATTGGAAGCTCTCTCTACACACCAATTTCATCTTCAGTGCAATATTGGCCTATATAATGACCAAAGCGCTGATTTGGGCGTGGAGGTGAGGGTTTATTCAAGGTTCTGTAGTAGCAAAATTTTAACATTTTTCTTACTGAATCATTTCTTGCATTCAGTGTCATCAAATATAAGAAGGAAGCATTTAGAAAAGTGGAAAATAGGTGAAATAATTGTAGGTGAATAGAAAAGAATAGCACAAAAACACAGGGGCAAAAGAAGAAACAGTAAGGCACAAAATGAGGTTCAGTGGGAGGATACATAAATGATGACAAGAAAATAATTGATGCAATGATGCAATAAATGCATTTTTAAAATCTTCACTTGCTGTTCTTTCTGTGCCTTGCTAATCATGCCTGATTCAGAACCTTGGTCTTCCTGATTCTGTCCCAGGGAAAACACCGGGCATCTTCTAAAGAGGAGGGAAAACACTGAAAGGTGATGCCTAGAGAGCTGTTTTTCATCCCTTTTGCTCCTCTTCACTAAAGAGGCCAACTCTGGATCAACAGCTAATAAAGTCAACACAATGGGAAGCACAGGAAAGAATTCAGACTGGAATAGGAAAAGTGTTGGAAAGAGATGACTTAAATTAACTGGATTTTCAGATCAAAAAGACTAAATAAAATTCATCTTAGAATGGTTTAAAAACTGCCCAATCAATTGCAAAGTAATCAGCAATGAGAGTGGTGAAGCAAGGTTCAAGAAGCCCCGAGAACAATAATCATAGTGCCTATGCTTGAAAAAAGCAGAAGGGTGGAGTTAGGAGTTACTCAGACAAATCACAGCAAAATACCAGAATAAATAATCAAACTATTTGCAAACAATCACTGGCAGAATAAAACAAAAGTTGAAAGATGGGCATATCACATTACATTGCAAAAGGTTTCCATGAGCGTGACAGAAAACTTGCCTTAAGAGATATCCTTTTTTTACAAATACTTCCTATTTTGATTGCAGACTGCAGCCCCTCTGCCCCATAGATGGTCGATTTGGACCCCGCGGCCAGGACGAAATCCCGCTGAGAGCTCTGCAGTTCAAGCGAGGGCTGCTCCATGAGTTCCGAAAGGGCAATGCCACCAAGGAACAGCAGCTTCCCAAGGCCATTATCATTGGGGTGCGGAAAGGAGGCACCCGAGCACTGCTGGAGATGCTGAACCTTCACCCTGCAGTGGTCAAAGCTTCTCAAGAGATTCACTTCTTTGACAATGACGAGAATTATGCCAAGGGGATTGAGTGGTACCGGAAAAAAATGCCTTTTTCTTACCCTCATCAAATAACAATTGAGAAAAGCCCTGCATATTTTATCACTGAGGAAGTACCTGAAAGGATTTACAAAATGAACTCATCTATCAAATTATTGATCATTGTCAGGGAACCTACCACAAGAGCTATTTCTGATTACACTCAGGTGCTGGAAGGTAAGGAAAGGAAGAACAAAACTTATTACAAATTTGAGAAGCTGGCTATTGATCCTAATACCTGCGAAGTGAACACTAAGTATAAGGCAGTGAGAACCAGCATCTACACAAAACATCTGGAGAGATGGTTAAAATACTTCCCAATTGAGCAGTTTCATATCGTAGATGGAGACCGGCTTATCACAGAACCACTGCCAGAACTCCAGCTGGTCGAGAAGTTCCTAAATCTTCCTCCAAGGATAAGTCAGTACAATTTATACTTCAATGCCACCAGAGGGTTTTACTGCTTGCGATTTAACGTTGTCTTTAACAAGTGCCTGGCAGGTAGCAAGGGACGCATCCATCCAGAGGTGGATACTTCTGTCATTACCAAATTGCGCAAGTTCTTTCATCCTTTTAATCAAAAATTTTACCAGATCACTGGGAGGACATTTAACTGGCCCTAAACTAAACTTCATACAACACTTTCTGTTGCACCTGAGACATGCAATAAATGTCTCTGCTAAAATATGCACTTTTCATAGACACAGCTATCAAAGTAACTTTTTTTCATGCATTCATGTACATATGCAGTGTGTGACCAAATATATGGTGGGATCAATTTTTTCTACAGAGTAGTAACTAACACAAATTTACTGTCAGCATAGTTGCATCTTTTAAGATATAATAATAAAGGGAAAGGAGGTATTTAGGGAAATAAAGTCAGACACCGTTAAAAGGGTCAGTGTTCCTCTTGCTTAGTGAAGTGTTTATATGACATACTTATTGATCTAAGCAGAACGTCAGTTTATGCCATAAAAATTCATGTCAAAAGTCTGTGAAGCTGTGAGAAAGCATCATCTTCAGGCTATATTTGGTATGTATATTGCTAAAGGAATACTGACACTTTAAACACAGTGCTGAATTTTTACAATGAGAGTGGATAGTATTATTTTCTTATTATTTGAAATTAATATCTTATCTCATACAAACAACATTGTTTCAGAGTTCCTGTGGTGAGTTTGCACTATTGTTTTATTGTATGGACCATAGTGTCACTTTGTAGCATGTCAATCACGTGTCAAAAAAAGGTCAAATAATTTTTTCTTCTATGCTTGTGTGTTGACAAAGCTAAACTTCATGTACATAGTGTACAATGTTTGTAAATACTGGTTTCACACTAAGTAATTCTATTTTGTAAACTGAATATGGCTATTTAATTTATTGTGAAAATTAAATTTATTGTGGTATTTAAAAATGGAATGGATTAAAATTACCTATATGTGCAACAGCTTTTCACCTTTGCTTGATGTATATCAGTGTGGTCCCTTAGCCCAGACAAATCATATGCAAGTGTGTGAGAGAGAGTTGCACACATAAACTTGGTTTCTAGACAGTTGAGAAAACTGATACATGTGGTGAAGCTGAGTTTATTAAAAAACTCATCCATCTGGGAATCTGGTGTAATACACACCTCAAAGAACATTATTGCTGTTCTGTTACAGCACTTTGCTGTAATTAATTCAGTTGCAGGAGCCCATGAGGCTAAAGAATGACTGTAAAAGATTACTGTAACCAGGTATATCAGAAAAGCAGAGCTGCCATTAAAACCAAAAGGACAGACAGACAAACAAGATTAGAAGAAGAGTTAGAGAGATTTCATCACTGAAAACTGGTGATGTTTCCGAAGTCAAAGAAAACAGTTGTGACACCTCTGCTTTTATCTGGTAACATATGCACCTGTTCCAAACAACCACAGAGTTGTTATTACTGGTATAAACATATAGCTCATGTTTCTATTCAGTAAGTGACAAGAAATTAGCTCAGGCAATGAGTGTTTTCATTCTTTATACATTGTAGGGCTCTTAAAGGTTCATAAGCAAAACAATAAAAGCAATTGAAAAATATCTTTTAAAATAAGAAAAAAGGAAGAAAAGGAAAAAAACAAAAACAAAAACAAAAACAAAACAAAAACAAAACAAAACGAAAACGAAAACGAACCACTTTAAAATGAACATCTAAAGATTGATAGGGACACAGATTTTGGAAGGTATCCAGAACATCTGAATATTCTGAGCTACGGTAGCAGAGTAGCTGGTAGTTCAGCTTATAATAAGATCAAGTTTTCCCTGTGGGCTGTTTATCTTGCTCAGTGATTTGGAAGCATCGTTTTTCTAAATAAGTGATTTTTAAATCTCCTGTGAGAGATTGCTACTTGTCTTGCTGTATCTTTAATCATATTGCTAGCACTGTGAGCAATGTGCCCTTTCTTCATACTCCTTCAGAGCCTTGCCAACACAACACGGTAGAGCATATGTGAAATTTTCCACAGTAGCTACAATACTACTCACTGTTTTCCTGTATGAGAATCATTTATCCTGCCCACATCCAGGCATAAAGACGGAGACATTTAACTCACCTAATAGTGCTCAAAGACGTGATTTTATCCAATTTAACATCTGCACAATCTTCAGGTGAGCAGACAGATTCCAAACAGCTTTGGGTGATACTTACTGGCTTGATATAGTCCTGGCTACAAACTATAACTGAAGGCCAAGATATATTTTCAATGAAAGGGACAAATTAGGCCAAAGTTACCTTTAAGCATGAAATATGCATTTGAAATTAATATCTCTCTGCATTGATCAGAAAAATCACAGAGACTGTGATTTAACAGGCACGACTACACACATTCCTGTTAAAGACAGCTGGCTTAACTCCAGCTTATCATTTGCAATTTTGGAGACACATGGATAAATTTAGGCGATATCTTAGACAAATCTGGTTCAAAAAAACACAGAGGAAGAGTCAGGAATAGCAGGGGAGGAAAGAGGGTTCAGAGGTATTGCAGTGTATTAAGAAGCCTAAAAGAGCAGGAGACTGATTCACTTTCTTCAGTGCAGTGTCCTTGAGTCTTTTTGACATTACCTAGTGAAAATTTCAAAACTGCTTCTTAATACACAGATCCAACACACCACCCAAAGCACACTCCTAGGTTAATGGGGATTTTGCTGCCGTATTCATAACCGGTTTGAGAAGTTCTGACCTTATGGTATTTACCTCTTCAGGAGCAATTTGTGAATAATTCATTTCAGCCTCTTTGCTTTGCTTCCCAAATCTTGAGTGAATCATTTCTATTCAAATTGATCATGAGTGTTCAGACCGGGAAGAGCGCTCATAGCTTGAGTTTATGATTGCAGAGTGATGCACAGCTATATGAAGTTGCAGCTGGTAACTTATGGCATTCAAGTTCTCTAAAGACATTGCATCTTTCATATTTTCTGTACAGTAAAATTGCAGGCTTCAGAGCTCCGATAAGTGTTTGGATTAAAACTGCTAATATTTCTGTGCATTTTTATCAGATTGTCCCAGCTGCTATTTAAACTACATAGAACAACAATTTGCAGCATAAAAGAATATCAGAGATGAATTTGAAATTGTATTTTCAGAAATCAGTATATAGGTAGATAAAGGACTGATATTGGGAGATCAGTGATTCATTTACCATTAACCCACTGTACTGCTTTTTCTTAAGGAAAGCAGAATAAGCATGATGAAAATATATTTGCCCTGTTTTAATAGATCTCTTTTTTTTTGCCATGGTGTCTAAGAATACAAGAGAGGTAAGGTATTTAGCAACATATTTCATTATAGTAGTCCAAGATTTTTAAGAGGCAATAAGCACAAATGGAAACACAGGAAAACATCAGGAAAAACTTTTTTACTGTGAGGCTGACTAAGCACTGGCACAAGTTGCCCAGAGAGGCTGTGGAGTCTCCACAATTGGAGATATTCAAAAGCCATCTGGACATGGACCTGAGCGACTGGATCTGGGTGGTTGAGCAGGGGGTTTGAGCAAGGGGTTTGACCCCCCTTCCAACCTCAACCATTCTGTGATCCTGTGAAGATCTCCCTCTACCATTAATGATCTTCTTAAGTATTGCCCATCAGTTCAGTGTTACACAGACCTCAGAGAAGGTCCAAGTGCAGTGTAACAAGCCAGTCCAATCACTGTTCAAACCCAAGCTGTGGAAGCACTACTGTGCACATGTTTACTCCCTGGCTAGCTGACCTAACTCATGTTGCGAGCCTGTGCAACTTATTGGAACCCTCTGATTGGAGAAGATAAGGAAGTAACATAGAGAAATCTTTATTTTTCCATCCTGGATGACTTCAGCAGTGATGTTGAGTGACACAGGATATAGTAATACAAGGTCCATAGTAGGTAAACTTCCAGAAAAAATAATTTAGTGAAGGTCTTTTCAAGAAGCTCACAGTGAGCAATGTCTCTTGCATGGCATTCTCTACATGCAAGACACTGAGGTATACCCATAAACTTGGGCAACAGAGCCATTAAAATTTGTTTCATAGATGCATATTATTTAAATTCTCTATGGTTCCAAATTATATTAGTAGATACTTATACTGAACACATGCCTTAGGGATATATCCAGAACATGTGAGCTACTGAGCGAATGCAAAAGGTTCATGTCTGAACACACGTGGTAAAGATTTAACTTATATTGCTTCTCTGTTTTGATTTGAGTTATATGTAAAACCAAAGTGTAGATCATAATTTGAAGAAAACAAAAGCAGAAGTCCAATCAACACACAAATACATGACAATAAAGTTTTGGAGAAATTTCAGTTCCCTGTCCTCCGTATAGGCTTCTTGATACTAATGAGACTTGTTGAAATCATGATTTAGCAAGCTAGATCTGTTTTAGTCTAAACAATCAAATGTTAGCAATAGCGAGAGAATAAAGCTCCTATAAAATTACCAGGAGCTGGTTTGTGTGAAGCTTTCAGATGACGCTTTCATAACAGATAAGACATTACTACTTAAATGCTCATGCACCTGTCCAAGGTGGTAAGCTCAGAAATGTAAAGAGTTTCAGGCTTTTCTGAATTCCACAACTCTGTTTGCAGGCATTTTCAGTTTGATGGAATAAACTTACTGTTAAACTGGCGTACCTAAATCCCACACTGAACTCATTTCATCCAGTTATTTTGCAGACATGATTTCACACATGCAACTGATTTATCTCCCATGAGGTAGGGTTGAGTGCTCTAGCAAAAGGTGTTTTCTTGCAGTTTAACTGATATATCTCACTGAAGTTTCAGCAGTGCTAGAGACTTTCAGCAATAGCTTATCACTGAAATGAATTATCTCATCCTTGGAGAAGGCCAAAGATAGAGCCATCACTGGAAGGGATTTTTAATACCGACTCAAAAAAGTTCAAGGCCCAGTTTCTTCTAAGGCAGCTAATGTTGAAGCAAAAGGTCATGCAGAAGCATTGTTTGTTAATGACAGTCTAACAAATCACTGCTACTGGTTTTGGTATAATGACTGTAACTATGAAGTTCACAAATGACCCTTCTTGACAAAGAACAGGTCAGGAGCTGAAGGTATCTCTGCTTTCATTAAAATGAGATAAAATGCTATTTCTTTTCTGTGTAAAAAAAAAGAAACTAGGTTTGTAGAAGGAGCCTACAATCCCATGGCAGTTTAAGTCAACCCAGCTGATGCCAAGGTTCCAGCCTTCACTTTGCACCGAGTCTCATGCTCTTCTGCATGGACCTGCTTCAGTTCACTACACAAGCAGAAGACTAACCTGACCTAAAAAGGTGAGTAACATCACTAAAACTGTACTGGGTCAGAGCAAAGGTCTTTTCAAACCAGGATCTGTCACTAGAAGTAGCCAATAGCTAATGCCTCAGGAAGGACATAAAGACAAGGAAAGCATGAAGACGTTGCCAGGCTCCAACGGTTTGCAGTCGTTGGATGTCTTCAGTGGGATAGCGCAATCTTCAGATGTAGCAGCACTGCGTGCCTTTCTCTTCTATGTACTTACCCAGAAATCCCTTGAACCTACCGACAAGGTGTTTCTAAGCTGCACTCTAAACCCTCTTATGTTATCAATTTGCAAGAATAGAGGTATAAAATGAATCAGAAAAGTTTGGGTAGTACCGTTAAAATCTGACAATGAACATACTGATATGGTAACAGAAATTTTATTTTCCTTCCCAACTCACTTTGAAAATGCTATGGCTTGTTTCATTAGTTTCTTAAAAAAATACTTGCCACACTACTTTAAACTTATTGGAGATCCCTGAGCAGATTTGGTCCTCAGATCTGTAAAAGACTGCAAAACAGAATAAATTATGGCAAATTTTACTTTTTAAAGAGCTTATTTGCAGAGAAAAGGACTTCAGATAAATGCTTTAAAGAGATTTTTAACAGTAATCTCAAACATTTTTTGTTATTGTACCTGTCAACTCCAAGGAC